TTTAATGCTGGAAATTAAACCAAGGGTCTTGAGGGTGCTAGGAAAACATTCTACCATAATATAATCCAAGCCCTGATGATGAGTTTGGATAATAACATACCTTGGACTAGCCATTGAAGAAAATTGATTAGAAAAGTCGACTCAGGAAGTAATAACACTTTCTACACAAGCATAAGGACCCAAGCTTAAATATCATCACTCTTGTAAAAAGCAAGATGTGGTCATCCACTTGCCTTTAATCCTAGCACCTTGGGAGTTTTGTTTTGTTTGTTTGTTTTTTTGGACTTCATTACTGCCATTCTAGTTCCAGGTTCAGTGAGAGATCCTATCTCAAGGAAATAAGGTGGAGAGTGATGGGTCAGGTGACCTGATGTTCTCTTCCGGCCTTCATATGCACTGATACTTTTCATGCTCCCTAAGTGTGTTATGTCCTACACACACAGACACACACACACACACACACACACACACACACACACACACACACACACGCATGCACTACAATAATAAAAAGAAAAAACAGCCTAGCCTGGTGTTATGAATTTAATGGGTTTAAATCAATACATGAAGAAAATAATTTAAAGTATTAGATAATTCTGCATACAATCGTATGCCAAGAATACCCCTATAGACAAGCTCAATTGAAATAACTAAATTATCTTGGACTGTTTCTTTTACTTATAGGGTCATGCTTCTACCTACTATTTTTCCCAAGTATTATTAAATGAGATGTTGAATATTAGTGGAGAGATGAATACATGAATATAACATAGCACGCAACTTTATCAGATTACATTCTTATCTCATTGTTTACATTCTAAGAATGGAGCCACAAAATGCCCCCACAAACTTTATCCACCACTCTCTTCTGAAATTGCTTAGTTCTTATGACTCATGACGTGCAGAGTGGAGGTATTCTCTGCAAAATTGCAATAGTCCAAACATGTGTACATATCGAAGTTTAATTCGTACTGTGGTTTAGTGATACATCTATCCTAAACACCTACTTAAAAAGAGAAATGAAATTCCAATGCATTCACTTGAGTGCCATTTTCTTAAATTGTGTCTTTGGCTGTTTTGTCTCATTGTTCCAGGTCATCATCGACTTCAGTCACATACGTTTCGTTTCCTGAGTCTTTTTTGTTGTTGTTGTTGTTTGTGTGATCTATTTCCACGTGACTCTCATTTCTGCCTCATGTCCCTCCCTGTTTGCCCCACTCCCCTGCTTTCCAGGCTCGCCTTTGGGCCACTTTGCATTGCGTTTTCAATTCTGTGGGGTTTTAATTTTCCCTTCACCAGTCCTGCCAGCACATGCAGCTCTTTTTTCATGAGTCCTCTGATGCCTTCTTTCCGCTTTGCTGTCCTTTGCGTTCAGTGTTTGCTCTAATTGCTTCACCTAATGATACAAGGCTGCCCATCTTTTATCTGCTCCATGAATTGAGATGAAGACCCTACAGTTAATCTTAATGAGATAAGGTGTTTGTTTTGTATTTTCTTAAATAATGATAACCTTCTGCAGATGCAGTGACATCTCTTTTGGAAATTCCCTTCATGGACCAGGTTTGAGCCAAGTTCTTCGGGGAAATGCTGACCAGGCTGCCATCTCAGGCAGGTGGGCTGTAACAGGCAAAGGCTCTCAAACTTTAGCTCCCACCAAGGCAGCCTGCTGAGGCATCTGTGGGATACTCTGTGTAACCTCTTCCCACTCCTCCTTCCATGTTTCAGAAGTGATGCAGTGTAGGAATGCTCCGTGGGCACTGTGCACATCTTCTGTACACGCAGAGCCTGTCCACTTGGATGTGGGAGGGAGGGTGGCTCCTCACCTTGAGGAAGAAGGCATTGTACCTGCATCTTTTGCAGGGCTTCTGTCACCAGCGGCCACTGGTGAAAAGGGACTCTGTCTTTATCCAGGTGTTTACCGGGAACTACGTGCTGAAGGTCAGAGGTTATTTTTTTTGTTTACCACATTTTATATGAAGTGTTTGAAATACTGGTAACAGGGTAAGTGCAAACGGATTACAGGAGAGGAACATAGGCCTGAGCTAAGTTCCCCAGGTCAGAAGATCCTATGGCGGTGACTTGGGGATGGTCAGATGTAAGCAGATACGGCAATGTCTCTCTTTCTTTGGAGCTCTGGTTAGGAAGTGGAAAGCTGAGACAGAGTAAGAAAACACACACACTAATAAGAAGTTCAAGCAAGCAAACGAACAAAATTGAAGACTGAGAAGAGGGACTGCTTTTTAAAAATTGGTTTCCTTGAGATACAGTAATTAAGGAGTCTGGTTCCCTTAGATAACTGTCCTCAGTCTTCTCCAGAGCTTTCCTCCCCCAGATCCTCATAGGAAACTAGGACTGGGAGAGTACAATCACAGTTCCTGCCCAGTGGCCATCCTTTCCACTCCTTCCGTAGGATGAGCATCCAGGTTGTTAGGACAAATGCCTGGAACCAGGGACCTGAGCAGGGTTAGGGAGTTCACGGGGTTTAGTGGTAAGGGTTGGCCTGAGCGTGTGTGTGTGCGTGTGTGTGTGTGTGCGTGTGTGCGTGTGTGCGTGTGTGTGTGTGTGTGTGTGTGTGTGTACTCTTCTGCCTATACACTACAGAAAAGACTCCTCTTTACAGTTGCTGGTTTTCTGAATTTACAAATGATATGGGGGCTCCCTCTTGTGGTGATTGTTAAGTTGCATGTTGTTTTCTCTCTTTAATTTTTATTTTTAAATTTAAATTAGAAACAAGGTTGCTTCACATGTCAATCCCAGGTCCCTCTCCCTTTCCCTCCCCTCCTCCCATGCCCTCCCACCAACTCCCCCAATGCCCCCTTATTCCCCCAGGGAGGGTGAGGCCCTCCATGGGGGTATCCTATGACAGTGTTTTCTCTTTTAAATGTATTTTTTTCTGTTTAATGTGATGTCACAAATTAATGGAATTTAGTTAAAATACGCATATACAATATGCAATATCCAGAAATCAGCCTTTTCACTTTTTAAGCATCTATCATTTATCTTTGATGTCGTTTATCATCTATCATTATCGTTTATCCCGTTTGCTGGTTCTTAGTCTTGTTGATTACAATCACTTGAAAATGGACTCAGATGAAAACTCAAGGACCATTTAGGAGAATACAAGGGAAAAGCAACCTGGGAGTCAAGCTGCCAGGAGGAAGGAGATGGAAAAGGGAAAGAGCAAGCCTTGGCCCTGGTAGAGGCCTGGATAGTAGCAGGCATGGTCAGCCGTGGAAGTCCATGCAGCTGCAGGCCAGGGTGGTCTTCAAGGAGAGAGAGGACTTGCAGGTACCAAGTCCGGTAGGCTTCAGATTTTGGTCAGTGTATGATGAAGGGAGTGTGAGACATTATGCTTTCTCAGAGAACTCAGAGAAAGAAGTGGGCAGGTCAGTAGTGAGGTCTCTAAGTAACTACACAGACCGAGGGCTTTGGGGTCTATACATACAGCGCTTATTAGGGTGATGGTTGCTCCTCCATTCTTCTTATCATTGATTTAGCGAGTATCACCCTTCTCCAGAGATGCTCTGCCCAGGTGATGGATAGGCTCATATGGATTAACCCTTACAGGAGAGGATGATGGTCTTTGTGATATTTGAGTCAGCTTGGAATGTCATGTCTCCATTCAGACAGAGTCACAGATACAACTTAGGTCTTCACCCTCCCTCTCCTTCTCTACCTCCCACAGCTAAAAAAATAATGTAACACAGCAGACTAAAGACAATTTAAGGAAAATAAAACTATATGCTGAGTGTGGTACACACCTTTAATCCCAGTACTCACAAGGCAGAGACAGGCAGATCCTGGAGTTCAGATCAGCCTGGTCAACAGATTGAGTTCCAGGACAGTCAGAACTATAAAGAGAAACCCCAAGGCAAAAAAAAAAAGAAAGAAAAAATACAAAACGAATAAAACTGTATAAAATAATCTTGTGTTACAGAAGGAAATGACTTTACATTAATGAGCCTCAACAATTTTCCCCCTTTATATGGTGTTTTAAATCTTCCATTTTCCAGAGAAGGCTCATTCCATTTTAAAATATTAAAATAAGTTTAACCCTGAATACCATTAAAAGAAGAAAATGTGTGAATCACACCACCTTTCATTGGTTACATTTTGTTATTTCTTCACTACATCTGTGTAACCGGATAACACAACTACCCACCTTTGCCCCTTTCTTCATTAGTGACATTATCTGTCTGTTAACTTGTAAACCCATTAACTTTTTTCAAGGGTTTTTAATGGTGTAAAGTCCTGCATCCAACTCCCTGTGATGCTTGCTCTATGCCCTTGAGATTATAAACCTCTCTTCAGTTTGGAATATGCATATATTTTCTGATTCTAGTTGATTTCGCATTTGTTTGATTGCTTTTGTATGACTTTCATATCTTTAACTTGCTGTCTCACCTTTTATGTCTTTTGAAAGTTTTAAAACTTACTTTGTTATTTTCTGTGTGTGAGTGTTTTGCTTGCCTGTCTGTGTTCCACACGCATGCCTGGAGCCTATAGATGTTAAAAGAGGCCCTTGAGAGTTGGACCTGGGTCCTTTGCATGAGTAACAAGTGCTAGTTGACTACCAACCATCAAGCCCTCACCAAAATCTGGAATTTTAAGTTTTTCTCATTTATCCTTATGTGTCAACTGTGTTTTCTTTTCCTCGTAAGTTCTCCAGTCTTTACTCCCCATTGCCTGTTCCATTTCTAGTAGTTTGTTCTTTTATTCCTACTTTGTGCTTTCTTCCACAACATCTCCATGATGTTTGGTTACCTGCAAACTTCTTAGATTCAAGTCTTAAGTAGTATTTCTTTGTATTCTAAAATTTGGCATGAGAGTCATTTCTAAATTTGCTCAGTAACTTATGAACGTTTTTTTTATGTACCTTTATCTGTTTTAAATGCAATAAGAATAAAGTGATTGGAAGAGATACCTTATGTAAATGTAATTTGTAAGTAGATATGTCAGCTGATGGCTAACTGGAAATTCACATTTCCCCTCCTCCAAAGATACTTGCCTAACAACAAGGAACACCACTGGGTGCACATCGTCATCCTCTTTGCTTTCTAACTACTTGTATGTCTTTGTCCTGGGACAACTGTTACTTGGAACTGGAGGAACTCCACTCTACACCCTGGGAACAGCCTTTATCGATGACTGTGTGCCCACACACAAGTCTTCTCTTTATATAGGTGAGTGACCTCTTCCTATTTTGATTTATTGTTTGTTCTCTGTGTAGGAAGAGTTGGAAGAACCTTTGCCTTGTATGGTTTCCGTCCCTATCACACAGGGAGTAAGGAAAACAAACAAACAAACATAAAAGCCAAGTTAATTGTAATGCCATGGGCATTTCATTTAGGTAACTGTGATCGTACTTTGTTTAATTGTTTACTGTACTACCCAATTGATTACTAGGATGCAAAATGGTTTTGTTGTGCTCCATCCTGAACATGATGACATTCATGAATGAGTGGAACCAGGGAATTTTACTCAGAGTCTTGTGTGTGTGTGTGTGTGTGTGTGTGTGTGTGCTCAAGTAAGAAAATAAAAGTTTAGAAGGTATCAATACAGTACAATTTATTTTGCAAATGCTTTTTTTGTACTTGGCAACAATATAAATATCTAATAGCCGTGAGTAAGCTGTTCACCTCTACTGCTACTGAAAGTAAGAGAACTCACTAGGAGTCACGACTAAGGATGAATGGCTTGCTTTTAAGAAACATATTTATCTCCAGTCAGTGGTGGTGCACACCTTTAATCCAGCACTATGGAGGCAGAAGTAGATGGATCCCTGTGATTTTGAGACTAGTCTCATCTACAGAGGGAGTTCACAGGGAAACTGTGTCTCAAAAATCAACAAACAAAAAAGAAATCGACTCATCAGCATATGTAGGTGTTAGGTTCTGCTACACAATAAAAAAAAGAAAGTTTTCTAAGTGGGTGCCTGGTGGGGAGATTTCTTACTTTGTCTTGTTTTCTTCCACAAGATTGTAAACAGTAATTACCATGAAAGGAAAATAGTGTATGTACGATCCCTACCACCAGTTACAAAACACACACAGATTTGTAATTACTGGGCTTAACTGTTATTATTTTAATCAAGTGGTTTTTATAGTGAGTCATTATTTTTAGATTTCTCAACATAACTGTTAATCAAATGATACCTTTCCGGAGATAATTTTTGAAATCTGTAATTTTGATGTAGGTCTAATCATTAGGAATTTTCTTTAGTAACATACATTTCTTCACTGCTGTTAGAATATTGAGCAAAACTGTTTATATGATTTTTCCAAATGTCTTTAATCTTTTCCTAGGAATCGGCTATTCTATGTCAATCCTAGGCCCTGCCATTGGCTATGTGTTGGGTGGACAGCTGTTGAGAATGTACATTGATATTGCAATGGGACAAAGGCAAGACAATATCTGTTTTTCTTTTAATTTTTCCTTCTATTTCAGTAAAGGGGACCTCATTTCTCACTCAGAATGTCATGAAGGATTTCAGGAAATAAAACGATGCACACTATTTTTACATGATACCCACTGTGACTGCACTGCTTTCTGGATGTCTTCAGCGTGATATTCATAAATAAGTGTGTCTAATAGAATCACTAGTGATTTTTTAAAATATGCTTTATACACCCTTTGTGTCATTCAAGAATAATAATTCAATTAAAATGAGCTTCTCTGTAGATTTAGTTGCAGATAGATAATATTGCCTTATAAGTATCCAAATGAGAATAGGTTCTCTGATACCTCTGATAATGTTATAAAAACAAGAACAAAAACCATGTTGCTTTCATAACCAAGGCAATCAAGATAGTGATAATTAACATTATTTATCCAATATTTATAATCTACACAGCACATTTTCTATTAGCCTATATTACATGTTAACCTATTCATTTCTCCCAATAATTTTATTCAGCAGTAGCACATACAGGTTAGTAAGTGGGAAACACATGGATTTCAGTGGCTCTTTCGGTTTTGAACTCTCTCTTTGCGTGGGATTGACTTTTCTTCCTGAATAGAGAAACTTCTGCCCCAGGGTGAGGTGCCATCTTCCCACTTTCCCACTGGAAGTTAACTGCACAGTGCTCCACATGACAGCAGGTAGTAAATGAATGCCCTGGTTAGTCTGACTGGTTCTCTGTGATGCTACTTCTGGGTTTTTCTTACAGGCACAATATAAAATGTGGCCAGGACAGTCCCTGAGATAGGATTATTAACTCTTAAAATAGGGTATTTTGAAATCAGAAAAAGACTCACAGAGTGATATGTCTGGGCGAAGGGCTTATTGATATTAAGATAGGAGAACCATTATACAAATTTCTAATAAATCATTTCAGGATAATTTAGAGAAAGTGTTAATTGAAGCATACTTTATGAGACTTTTAATATGGATCAGTGGTCTACTGTGAGATGTATTTAGTTTACTATAATAAATGAAAAAACCCTAAATAATATATAGAAATTCTGTGTATGATTTTAAATATTTGTCATGTTTATATTTACTATTGAATATTTTAAGCCTTCATTCCATATTTGCTGCTTTAAAAAAGATTCATTTATTTGTACTTTCTGTGCATGAATGTTTTGCCTGCACATGTGCCTGTCCACCATCCATGTGTGTAGTGCTAGAACAGGCGATCAGATCCAGGGAACTTGAGTTACAGGTGGTTGTGAGCTATCATGTTGCTGCTGAGAATCGAACTTTGGTCCTTTGCAAGAGCAGTAAATGCTCTTAACCACTAAGTCATCTCTTTAGCCCGTGTGTTTACCATATTATGGTGCTTTACAAAGAAATATTCTTGAACCCCATTTATACCTGTATGTTTCTTATCTGTTACCATTGTGACAGCTTCATTACAATTTTATTATAAGACATCTGATTGTTATGACAGAGTTCTAATTAAGACTGAATGAATTTTGACTTTTCTTTTTTGTCCTTATAGTTCTGATGTCACTGAGGATGATCCCCGGTGGTTAGGTGCCTGGTGGATTGGATTTCTTTTAGCTTGGCTCTTCGCTTGGTCTTTGATAATACCTTTCTCCTGTTTTCCAAAGTATTTGCCAGGTAAATGCATCTGTTTCAGTTCAGAATGCCTTATTGTAATTTTAGGTCAGTTGTTTGCAAGGTGATTAGTAAGAACTGTAGAATCACCCTGTTTGTTTGAAGACCTTCATGCTCTGTCAATGCATCCTTCTGAAATCTAACTTCTTAGAAAATATTCATACAGACACTAATATTTATGGATTATTTTATTCCCATTTATGTTTTGAGTACTAAGTTCTTTTCACTAAAATTGCCCTTGTGATTTATATTAATTCTTGCCTATGTACATGCAAGATACAATTGTAAACTATTATCTCATGTTCAATTAGTCATTAATATCAAGGACCAATCTGTGTTAAATCCTTCAAGCTAATTATTGATAGTTGTATAAGTACTTATGTTTTTTTCAATTGTCCTCAAACACATTCTGTCATGTATTAATTTATAAACCATATTTCAATACTAACTAGCCTTGGAAACTTTCATCTCAGTGGAAATGTCATTTCTTTTATGAGTTCTTGTTTCTGAAGCAATTTTCTCAAACTTGAAGGCATTTATTTATTTCAAATGTCATTTGCAACAAAGCTTTTGGAGGGTGAGGAAGTCTGTGTGTGGGGTGTGTGGAGGTGCATGGGGTGTTTGGAGGTGGGTTTGCTGGTGCGGGAGACAGGTAGAAGATGCACTGGAAGCAGGTCAACTCACTGATGTCTCTGCCATCCCACGTCATTCCGTTATAGAGCCACATGATGGTACCATCTCAGCTTTATCCGCAGAACAATGGTTTCAAGCAAAGGGCCACAACTAAAGACAGCAAACATTACTTCACCTTCCAAGCACCTGTCTATCTTCTTTAGTGAACAAAGAAAAACAGCCCCACGTGTATTTTAATCTGTAAAGTCTGCCTCCCCCTCAACATTTCAAATGAACAAAAACTGTTATCAGACATCAACTGAAGAATAATTTGTGTTAGGAGCAAAACTGTGTCGTTAAATTAATATTCATTGACCAAACGTTAATGTTTACACAGATTGGAACTCCATTTGTTAGTTGATGTTTTCAGGGGTTTTTTTTGTGTTATTTTCATTTTTTAGATAAGGTCTCACATGACAGCCCAGAAGGACAGTCTGGCCACAGACTCATGCCAACCCTTTTGGTGTAACCTGAGTTATGATTACTGAGAATATAGAACTGAGCCATGACACCTGGCTGCCCTTCATGAATGTTAATGAATATTATCCCTTAGCACAACCCAATGACAGACACAGATATTTATACAACATTAGTAACAGAAGAAAACTGAACTCTAGTGGAGTTGACATACTCATAGAGGGTAACCCAACTAAAGAGTAAGCATACTTAAAAATGATTAGTGAAACAACAACAAATAGTAAAACTAGCACATTTGTTCTACACCCTCTCCCCCCAGGAACAGCAAAAATTCAAGCTGGCAAAACATCCCAGACTCATCAGAGTAGTAGTACTTCCTTCCAACATACAGATGAAAATTTTGGAAAAAGTATTAAAGATTTTCCAACTGCTATAAAGGTAAAATAGAAGTTTGTTCTCTCTCTCTCTGTTTCTGCCTCCCTCTCTTTGTCACTGTGTGTGTGTGTGTCTGTACATGTGTGTGTGTGTATATTTTCCAAAGTCTCATAGTAACACAGTATTTCACGTGTGTACATATAACACGCATGCACCCTTCCATTATTTTTGTTGTTGTTTTTGAGACAGGGCTTCTCTGTGTAGCTTTGGAGCCTGAGCAGGCTGGCCTTGAGCTCATAGAAATCTGCCTGCCTCTGTCTCCTGAGTGCTGGGACTAACGGCATGCACCACCACTGACTGACACCTTCATATCATTTTACTACTTATTCTCTTATTTATTACTATTGAAACTTTTATACATAGCTTTTTAGATTAAGTTTCCTTGCTCTTTGAGCTCCAGAATAGAATAATTGAAAGAGCATGATTTCACTGACAGTATTTTCAGTGGGTCCTCTTTACACGTAGTCCATCACTCCATGCTATTTCCCTTAGGCCATGCATTGATCAATTGCCATTGAACTTGGCTATCCTTAAGCCCCCTTCCTTTTGGATCATTCCTCCTTATTCTCAATTCTTTCTGGTTATCATTTCCTCTCTTCTATTGAAAGTTGAGAAGTCCTGTGGTAGTACTCCTTCCCTGTGTAGTTTGCAGATATTTTCATCTATTCTTAGGAGGCAGCTGTATTCACCACTACACTACTAATGATCTCATCTGTCCTTCATGTCTGGAAATTTGGTGTGTTATGGTTATGAAGTAATATTATGAGAGAATTGGCGGTAGAGATACCTATGTAGTTATCTACTTAAGGTTCTTAGTTACTGAGTACTGTATTTACAAAACAGTATGCATCCATGCTCAGTTTCAAGTTCCCCATTTAGTGGATACAGGAATTTAATCTATTTTAAGTAACCTAACAAGGGATGAATTTATAGTATAGACATGCATAGACATTTACTCTAACCCTAGAAAATGGAACCTTCCCAAATGGGATTTGCCTCCTCCACTGGCTTCTTGAGGGCAATCAAGGCACAGGCACAATGACCCATCTAGTGAGTCATCTGTCAATTTCCAAGGGGCTACACACACAAATGTCCTCTCTCTCTCTCTCTCTCTCTCTCTCTCTCTCTCTCTCTCTCTCTCTCTCTCTCTCTGTGCGTGTGTGTATGTGTACACATCTATCAATTAATTGAAATTATATTTTCTTGCCAGAAGAAACCCTGAGTTAAAATGCTTGCTTGCATTTTATTATGCTTCTGTGTTAATGCAGCACTTTGCGATGTAATCAGCTACTCATTTAAACTGTGTTTTTTCCTTAGAATTTGATGAGGAATTCTGTCTTTATATGTTTAGTTCTATCAACTACTTCTGAAGCATTAGTTACTACGGGATTTGCCACGTTTTTACCTAAATTTATAGAAAATCAATTTGGAGTGACATCCAGCTTTGCAGCTACCCTTGGAGGTAAAAGCCTTTTTTTGTTAATCGCTTGGAGTATTGGGTCTACCTAATCAAGTTACTTTTATTGGGAAAGTAGGTTGTTTTGAATGGTGCATACCTTGAAGTTTTTGGTAGAAGTTTCTGATTCTCTGAAATCAGTGTTGTGTGTCAACTTAAGACAGACAAAAGTGGGATAAGAAGAATGTATTAATTCTGTTAATACTTAATTTTATGAACCTTCCACCACCTGTATCTATGACATTTTTGTGCATGTGTTTTTGTATCAGGCAAATGCATCTGTCTGTGGAAGCCATGGTGGTGCTGGTTTTGATATTTTTCAGTTGTCCATATGAGTAACTGAGCATAATTGTGTGTTTTCATTATCTTACTTCTCATTAGGGGCTGCTTTAATCCCTGGAGCTGCTCTTGGTCAAATCTTAGGTGGTGTTCTTGTTTCAAAATTCAAAATGAAGTGTAAAAATACAATGAAGTTTGCATTGTTTACATCTGGAGTAGCACTTACGCTGAGTTTTGTATTTATTTATGCAAAATGTGAAAATGAGCCATTTGCTGGTGTTTCTGAATCATATAATGGGTAAATATATTTCAATGCTTTTTACATTACTGTCAGATATTATGTATGCATTTGCAAGTATTTCCTTTCTCAAAACAGATGATTAGGAATTGTCCTTTGAAAAAATATAGACACCGTTTGTTTGTTTCAGTGTATGATTTTATGGAAACTTTTCCTCTTTGTTTTGTTTTAATTCAAATATTTAGTGCCCTCTTGAAAGCTGTAGGTGTTAATCAAGTTAGCAGTTTAAGGGCAAGGTGTTTGGTTCGGGGATTCAGAGAGGAAAACAATATACAGGGAGCTTGTCTTGTAGGGCTTCATGTATAATAGGGAAGAAGTCTCTAAACTAGCTGGTCTTCTCTAAACTGTTCTGTGACAGCCTCTTCTAGCTGGTCTTTTCCATCTTGTCCTGTTTGTTATAGCCTTTTGCATCATCAGAGGCCAAGATCAAGATCTGCTTCCTTTCGCTTGACCTCCCCTCCTCCAACACTCTTCACTATCCTCAAGCAAACCTATATATAGTCTTTGTAAGTTATTTGCTTTGGATATTTTGTTATAGCCACAAAAAGTAGACTAGGACAGCATCCTAGAGAGAATTTAACATCCTAATTTTCTATCAACTTCAATATTTTAAAATAGAAGCTACTCTTTTGTTTACTGAGACAGGGTTTCTCTGTGTAGCCCTGGCTGCCCTGGAACCCGCTCTGTAGACCAGGCTGGCTTCAAACTCAGAGATCCACTTGCCTTGCTTCCTGAGTGCTGGGATTAAAGGCGGCTGCCCTATCACCTGGCAGAAGTTATGATAAAATTCTCTTACTTGGATTGAAGGTATACTTAAAAATACTAAAACTAAACCTGTGTGATATTTACTGTCCTATTTACTGTGGAATTCACGTTAATTTTAGAGAAATAAATGGCTTCTTGTTCAATCCTGCAGACCAATTCTTCCTTTAGTGAGTTTCCTTGGCCAGGATTGTTTTGCTATGAAATCCTAAGCTACCAGCGGTACATCAGGCGGGTGAGAGATGTTTTGCCTGAGAGCCTCATTGTGCTGTTTTAATTATTTCATTGCCTATGCACGTGGCTTTTGAGGGAGGTGTCACTCCAGGTATAGGATTTCATAACTTTGTGTAACACCATATTCACATGGCAATAAATTCATTCAGGAAAGTTTGCCAACAATAATAATAATCTTGATTTGTAGTTATATTCATGTGTCTGTCATTCTCTCAAATTAATATGATGCCAAGTGTTCTACATAAATGTTTGGTTAAGGTCCATTACATTTAGTCAAGACTTCTTCGTGATTCCTTTTACAGACACAGTAAATTCTTACTCTCAGAGATGGGAAGACAAAACAGTGAATGAACAATGGGTTTGGTAACTGGAACTCTAGAAAGTTCCGTAACATTCACAAGAAGAGGTCTTTTCAATTTTATTTTACTATACTTAGGAAAGGCTTTGTGACCTAAAGGAAAATGGGGTTTACAGGTTTTAAGGAGCTGAGAAGAAGGGAAGGGAGAATGGACACCTTACCAAGGCTGTAAATGTTATTAAAAGTGAAGGCTATTTTCAGCCATCAGTTTTGAGTGGAACTGGGGTTACGTGGAGTTGGGGTTACATTTCTGGAAATATTTTTAAAAAGACAAAAAATAAAGAAAGAAAGAAAAAAAGAAAAATATTGAAATGTTGGTATAATGCCTTTAATCCCAACACTTGGGAGTCAGAGGCAGGTGGATCTCTATGAGTCTGAAGCCAGCCTGATCTACACAGCAAGTCTCAGGATAGTTAGGACTACAGAAAGAGACCCTGTCTTGGGGGAAAAAAGAAAGAAAATATACTTCAAAAGCATTTACTAGTCTTCTACTAATAATTTCCTATTCTTTTTATCAACTGTCACAAATTTTTATAAAATGCAGAGAAATTGACTGAATCTTGATTATAAGAAGTATGTTTCTTTCATTATTTCTGCTGTGCTTTGCATAACGCCATGTTTCACTTTATGTATTTTCAGTATGTATTTGACAAGTATTAGAGATTCTAAATTGAAACTGTTGTGTAACCTTATATTACTAATTTGTGTTGCAAGGGCTGATTTTCATCTAGTCTTTCTGTTGGCCATGGTAAGCTTTCTGTGGACAGAGACTATCGTCCTTTCATAATAAAACTGTGTTTGACAAAAACGCACATGGCAGCATTTTGTAGGGCATAGCGGGATAAGAAGGTACTTCAGGCTGGGCATTGGTGGCGCACGTCTTTAATCCCAGCACTCAGGAGGCAGAGGCAAGTGGATCTCTGTAAGTTCGAGACCAGCCTGGACTACCAAGCGAGTTCCAGGACAGCCTCCAAAGCCACAGAGAAACCCTGTCTCGAAAAACAAAAAAACAAAAAAACAAAAAAAAGAAGGTACTTCAGTCAGAAGGAAAGAGTGAGTGCTTACAACATTGTATTTATTAATTCATTTGGGTTTGTCCATATGTGGAGGCCAGAGGATGACTTGTGGGAGTTGGATCTCTCCTGGCATGTGGATGGGTTCCAGACTCTTGAGTTCAGGAAATCAGGTTTGGTGGCATGTGCCACTGCTACCTGAGGCATCGTTCCAGCCCCTTACAAGCTAGCTTCTGTTTTTCACTTCCCAACAACTTGTTTTCTCCTTTCTACACTGATCCTCTTCCTTCACAAACTTCTCTACCTATTACTTACATACAACATTTTCCTATTTGGTAGATTGTCTTTTAGACACGTTGACGTTTCGTTGGTTTACATATTTACATATTTCGCTTACAGTGCTGGAATAATGCTTTTTCTCTGACTCTGGATCCCTCTTTCAGTTATGTTTCTACCACTCTGCATAAGATAGCATGTCTGAGATTTGCTGTGTGAACATGAAGTGAGCACACCTTTCCAAATCTTAGCTTAGCTTCCTAGATTTTGCAAATTTTTGAGAGTGAACACTGTATGTTACAATGTGTGTCACAGTGCCAGAAAGTTAGATATGTCTACACACTGCATGGCAGATCTTATCACTATCATGATTTCTGTTAAATATACACGCAAATAGATATGAAGTTTTCTAACCTTCCTGAGTTGTCAACCAACCTGAGACTCTTAACCTTAATATAGGTAAAACCATAGTGGTTATCTCCTCCTCAGAATTGGGTTCTCCTGTGCTAAATAGTAGGAGTGCCTTCAAATTCCTTGAAATAGTGCTTTATCATCTACCAATAATAAAATATTACTGATTATATGTTAAAAAGTTTTCTCTAATCTTTCTTACAATCAAGTTGTGTTTCAGTTTATTTTTATATTTTGATCACTTGTTTTGGGTGTCCTTCCCTCAAATTCATACTTTGTGCAACACTACAGCATAAATGTTTGCTGAATAAGTGTGAGAACCGAGATCAGATACCCAGAATCCATGTAAATGTTGGATGGACATGGCAGCCTGCCTCTAATTCCATCACTTGAAAGACAGACCGTGACTCCCCACAGCAAGCTAGCTAGCTAGTCTAGCCTGTATCAGAGACCTCTGGGATTAGTGAGAGATACTGTCTCAATTAAGAAAGTAGTCAAGGAAGCGATTCAATGTTGACCTCAGGCACATGCACATATATTCACCCACACAGATGCAAACATGCACACATACATCCATATATACCATGCACATATCAAAACATTTTTGGTGAATTTTTGACAATATCACTATGCATATATTTATAATAATTAACCGTCATTGATTTTTAACAAGGCCCTTGAGGCAACCATTACCCTAGACCCTGACATCTTACAGGAACATTCCATTTCATTTTCTGTTCCAGACACCATTTATATTTCTTCCCTGTTCCGTTGCTCCTCTTCCAATTACCCACAGTGTGGCTAAATTTTGCTCATCTTTAAGACTTGCTTAGGAGGTGACTCCTCAGTATCCTTTGTCTAAACCTTATTTCTTGATAGCTGTCCTGCCTTGGAACTTCTAAAATGCACCTGTATGTATCAGTAAACCATAGCCAGCAGACTAGCATACAATTCACCCACTTCTAAGCCTCCACTGAAATCTTTGAGGAATGATGCTATCTTACTCAGCATGCTCCCATTACTAAACACATGGCCTATTTATCACCTGTGGCAGACACATTGCTAATGAACAGGGGAGGTACTGCAGAAGCATCTTTGATTATAGTAACCTTTATATTGGAATTTCTTTATATTGGGACTTATGTTTATCAGGACTTCTGTGACTTCTCACACACAGGGAGAGAGAGTATAACCACAACATAATGGAGTCTAAAGTCAGGAAATTTACTTTCTGCAAAGACAGATTATGTGGTGTTATGACCGTGTTAAACATCATCACTCTTTTTGGTTTAAAAATGTTGCTCAATTTCTGGGGCTGTTTGTAAATGTCTAGCAACTTTTTCATTGCTGTAGCTAAAGAGGAAGCTACTTGCCACTGATGAATAGTAGTGGAGGTTACTACTATTCAATCCACAGTTCATCCACAGAACCAATACTGTCACTGGGAAACCCTGACATTTACTGAGATCTCTGTCTCTCTGTTTTATTTGTGTGTGTGTGTGTGTGTGTGTGTGTAACAATTATTAATAACTTTTACTTGACTGCTTTCCCCCTTAGGGTTTACTCTAATCAAAGTTCTCCCCCAATGCCGAGGAGGTAACAAGTGGCTTTGTAGTGAGTAATGAGAACTTGAAGCTGAATAAGAGCATCATTCCTCAAAGATTTCAGTCTAGGTACAGAGTAGGTTAATTGTATGCTAATCTCATGGAAAAGCAGCAACTTTGTTTTATTCATTTTGTATTTATTCAGTGAGTGACTGACTAAATGACACTATGGCGAGACGCTACTGCTTCTGAATTGTCCCTTAGGAGTAACATCACACACACACACACACACACACACACACACACACACACACACACACACGCAAAAAACATCTCACCTTCTCTGTTTTTTCTTGTTTCCAGAACAGGAGAACTGGGGAATTTGACTGCTCCTTGTAATGCCAACTGCAGCTGTTTGCGGTCCTATTATTACCCACTCTGTGGAAGTGATGGCATCCAGTATTTTTCTCCCTGCTTTGCAGGTTGTGTAAACTCGGTTTCAAGCAAGAAACCAAAGGTAGCCATTTGTCTCCTTTGCCTCCAAGAAGCAATGTGCACTGTGTAATGTGATTGTCATCTTGATTCTCGCAGTGGGCTGTTCAGTCTTCCTTCTATTTATTCCACCTTGCCAGTTAAGCAGCCCTGGCCTTTTCCTCCATAAAGACCCCTTCCCTCATGTGTCAGGCAACTAACGCTGAACTCAGCATGCAGTTATATTGACATTTTATATTGTTTTGGTCTTTTTCTCAATTATAAGATCCTTGGGCATGGTTACTAATCAGTAATATAACAAAGCTTGTTAATTATTTTTAAATTTCACACACCACAGATACATTGTAAGTCATTCAAATCATTAATTTAGCCGCAAATATAAATTCACTTTTAATCTTTCAGTTATTTACCCAGACATTATTTCTTCTTAATAATTGAATAATTTCAGACCATCCAAGCAGCTATCTTAGTAAACAGTGTGCTTGTCCTTCATGTGTAAGACACTGGACTCTATCCCTATGACACACACCGTTCGCATTGGTTTACCTACTTCCCAGCACTCAGGAGGCAGAAGCAGATAGATCTCTGTCAGTCTGAAGCCAGCGTAATTGACATAGTAAGGCCCTGTTTAAAAAAAAAGAAAAGAAAACTCAATTCAAGAGAGGTTTAGATTTTAGCCTGCAAATGGACGGCCACTCACATTAAGTTGGAAGGCAGCACTGTTTTAGCTTTAAGCACTTTGACAAAATTCAGAGGTTTTTGTCAATTGTCAGGAATCAAAATTCCACAAGTGAGCTAATAAAATAATAAACACATGTGTGTTTTTTTCAAGCAACATTAATAATAGTTCTCTGCCAATGACCCAAGTACAAACCTGACTTCGGTCGAGAGTTCTGTCCCATCCTTTGCTAAGTTATACAATGAGTGGGACAGAAAAAATCCTGTGGTCTGGTTCTCCCCTTAAGGCACTCAGGCTGCGACCCCCAATGGGGCTCAGTGAGTACAGTTGCTTGCTGTTCAGTATGGAAAACTGAGCTTGAATCCTAGAGCCCATGTGGCAGAGGTACAGGCTCTCACCACTGCAAATATATTCTGTGACACACACTCACCTACCCACAATGAATAAATAAATGCCATAGAAGTTTTAAAGTGTTGAGGCTAAGAGCTTGTTTTTATATGTACATCTGACTGATGCCTATGTAATAACTTGTGCTGGAAGATTGTCTGTGTAATTGGACTCCCCAAAATCAACACCACTGATCTTATAATTGATTAAGCATACAGAACACTTCTACTTCTTGGAAACATAAGAACACCACTTTCTTTGGCTTCCACATTTCACTATGATTCTGGTTTGTTGTTTGTTTTTTGTTTTTTTGAGACAGGGTTTCTCTGTATTGCTTTGGAGGCTGACCTGGAACTGGCTCGGTAGACAAGGCTGGTCTCGAACTCACAGAGATCCACCTGCCTCTGCCTCCCGTGGATTAAAGGCATGCACCACCACTGCCCGGCTGATTCTGTTGTTTTTAATGTTTACATTAAGGATAACATTGAGGTATACAGTGCCTTTAGGACTCAATACAATTTCTAAACTGATCTTTTTTTTTCTACAAAGATAAAATGCGATTTTTTTTGTTGTTATCTTAGGTATTCGTCCTGTTATCATAGGTATTCGTCCATGCCTATATGCAAGTATATAAGAAATAATTAATAAGTTAATTATATGTAAGTTAGCTTTCACAGTAAAGATGGAATAACTCCTAGTTTTTGTTATCATACATGTCACAAAAAGGATATGAAGTTGTAGAGTGTACAGGATTATTTTACTGTGGCACTTATCAACATTATACTTTTTGTTTGCTTGTCAAGTTGTTTTATGCCATGGGCCAATAATAGGCTACAAGCTGGAGTAGCAGCCACAATGCCAAATAGAAGTGGTTGGATTTCATACACGTGGCTTGCTCCTGTGTGCTCAGTCTCTTAGGATGAATCAGTCTCAGTACTATTATATGTAGATTAGGACAGTGACAAAATGCCATAAATACACTTTCAAGGTAAACAACAACTTTGACCTTTTCCTGCTGAAATTTCAGGTGTATTACAATTGTTCCTGCATTGAAAGGAAAGCAGAATTCACACCGACTGTGGAAAGTACTGACTTTGAAGCTAAAGCTGGAAAATGTGAAACTCGGTGTGCAAACTTGCCCATATTTCTCGGCATTTTCTTCGTTACGGTGACCTTTACCTTCATGGCAGGTACTCCGATAACTGTGTCTATACTGAGGTAAGAATTGCACTCTCAGCCCGGCGGTGGTGGCGCACGCCTTTAATCCCAGCACTCGGGAGGCAGAGGCAGGTGGATCTCTGTGAGTTCGAGGCCAGGCTGGACTGACAGCCTCCAAAACAATACAGAGAAACCCTGTCTCAAAAAACAAAACAAAACAAAACAAAACAAAACAAACAAGCAAGAAAAAAAAACCAAAAGAATTGCACTCTGAAACTGTAGAAGAATGTTGTGGCCTTAGAGGTTCAGTCGGGCTTTTATTAATTCAAAGAGTACCACCCTGATACAGCATGAACTCCGGGACCCCATGGAAGCCCAGCTGTGTGAGGGTTAGAGAAGGTGACATGGGAAAGTGTCTCACTGTTGCCCATGTGACATTTGTTAGGCATCCATCTCTCTGAGGCTTACATGACCAGCATCAGCTGGAGATTTGCTCAGCTGTGTGCAAGCACATAATCACAGCAGTCTCCATCCCATAGTAAAGAGTAGGCGCTGACAAATAAACTCACTAGAAACTGCTGAGAAGGTAGCTGTCTGCCATCTGGACACTGTTGATGCTTTTCACGTTGTTTTTGTTTTTCCTCCTTTAACGCTGTTTTACAAGACTCTCTGCCCTCCAGCAGCAGGCTTTCTGCCTCTTGCCCATCGAGCACTGGGCCTTTTCTTTCCTAGCACTGTGATTCTCAACATTTACTCATTGTCGTTCATAATTTTTAGTAAGTGGAAAGTGTATGGATCCCTAATCATATTAAATAGATAACTCGGGAATTCAATGTATTTAGTAAAAAGAACAATTTAGAAAAATAATTTAAATAGTGTAAGAAACGTTCTAACTACTTGTTTGTTATATGTGTAGTTTTGTTTTGTTTTGTATTTTTAGACGGCAGTTTATGAGCTGAGGCCGGCCTCAAACCTGCACCAATTAGTCTTCTTTCTTAGGCTTATAGGTACTGAGATTACAGGCTTGGGCCACTCTGCCTGGCTTATTTAGTTGTTTAGAATCATAAAACATTTTTGTCTCTCACATAAAACTCCCTTGTATGCTGATATCAAGCATTATTGTCATTAAACAGTCATTAAAGAACGAATAATATTATTGAATCCAGAAATTGTTTTTTATTCAGTTTATATACTTGTCTATTTTAAAGCCAGCGTTTTTGAAGTTTAGCTAATAATGATACTGAAAATACTAACAACAATAATAATAACAACAATAATAATAATGATGATTTTCATCTGAGTGTAGTGGTACCTGCCTATAATCCTTGCCAAAAAAGGTTTTTTTTTATTTTTTGTTGTTGTTAGTACAGATGATATCTTATTTAAATTGCTTTTTAGAGTCATTGCAACGACTTGTCAATCAAATCTGCATGTACTACTATTAAATACATTGAAATGCACATATGATATGAAATTATTACCACATGCTAATATCCATAGCCATTGTCTTACACAGTCACCATTTTTATACATATGCACATGTGTATAAGTACAGGAGTAATTAACATCTACTCTTACTAAATTTCAAATATGTAATAAAAGTTTCTGGGTGAGGGACCAGGGGTTAATGCAGGGTCTCATATAGTCCAGGCTGGTTTTGAACTTGCTATATTGTTGAGCCTGTTCTGCCTTTGTGTATAATATATATAAAATGAACATTGCATTCCATCTCCAGAATTTAACCTGCAAAATTAACATTTTGCAGCCTTTGATAGAGTTGAACTGTTGCCCTGACCCTGGCCTCTGGTAATCACCACTTTACTCTCTACTTCTTAAAAACATTCAAAACTTCTTATTAATTCTTGTGCATGTATATGTGTACACTTATGCCATGGCATTTGTGTGGAGGTCAGATGACAAGTTTCCAAAGTCACTTTCCCCCTTCTATGGTACTGTTCCTGGGGACTGGACTCAAGTCACCACTCTTGACTGCAAGCGCTTTTTACCCCGCGAGCCGTCGTAGCAGTCTGCCCATACTCCTAACGAAGCGGTTGCTTCGGTGCACACAGGTGAATCAGAGCATGCGCTCTCGGTGCACACAGGTCAATTAGAGCATGCGCTCATACAGTATTTTGATTGCATCCGGTTCTTCTCAGTACAGTGCACTCTAAGGCCATCCATGCTGTACAAATGGGAAGACTCCCCTTTCCTAGTGTGGTATAATTAGTTTATATACCACATTTTCTTTATCCATTCGTTTGATGACTGAGTTGTTCGATAGCTTTGCGGTTGTCAGTGAGTCTGCAGTGAACGCACAAGCATAAGTGAAGCCATCTCCTTGACCTTCTGCTGAGTCTGTTATTCCTCACAACTTCAACTTGTCTTTTTGAGAAACTGCTGTCTGTCTGGATCAGCTCACGCTCCTTCTGGCGGTTTACACTGGTTTCCTCTTCCATTTCCTCTAGACCGTTTTGTTCCACCTTATCGTAATCGAACTAGTAAGAGCTTGTGGTCTAGTGTGCATTTGTTCATTACCACTGGTTCTGAGAGCTGTTTTCCATGTTGTTCCTGGCCTTTGCTATGTCTTCCTCAGACAAGCGCCTACTCAGATCCTTTGCCTATTTTTAGAACTTTTTTCTTGCTATTGCTTTGCTTGAGTTTATGATTTACTGTGTGTATAAAGTGCTTCCCAGAACCGGGCATTGGTGGTACATGCCTTTAATCCCAGCACTCAGGAGGCAGAGGCAGGCGGATCTCTGAGTTGGAGGACAGCCTGATCTACAGACCAAGTTCCAGCACAGCCTCCAAAACAATACAGAGACACCTTGTCTGGAAAAACCAAAAAAAAAAAAAAAAAAAAAAAAAAAGCTTCTCAGATACCCCATTTGCCGGTTCTTTCCTGTGCTCTGTTTCTTCACTTTGCTTCCTTGGATCTGTAGAGGGATTGCAAAACACAGTCCCATTTGCCTCTATAGGCTTTGGTTGCTTATATTGTGATATGGTAGCCAAAAGTGTCATTGCCTAAAAGAATGTAGAGAACTTTCTGTTTTTGCTTTTGGGAGGATAGACCTCATTTTATGTTTAGTCTTTAGTCAATTTGAATGCATTTTGCATGCAGTTTGAGATAAGGGTCAAATTGCATTCTTTTGTGTATGAATATAGACTATACAATTTTCTGAACATCCAGGATATGTGTCCTTGATGTCCCTGTCAGCTGCAGATGCATATGTGTTTTGTTCCATTGATCTCTGTGTACATTTTTATGACAGACTCAGACCTTTTATTATTATAGCTTTGTTATTGTAGCTTGAAATCTGGTAATATACCTCTAATTTTGTTCTTATTGACCAAAATTGGGATAACTTTGCTGGATCTTTTCCATATGATTTTAAGATTGTGTTTTCTATTTTTTTGTGAACAATTTCATTATCATTTTGATGGGGATTTTATTCTAATTGCCTTAGAGAGTATGGGATATAGACAACATTATTTTGATTTGTGAACATTACAATGTCTCTTTTTATGTCTCCCAACATCTTTTCACATTTTTTGATGTACAAGACTTTTTCCCATTTATTTAATCCCAAGTATTTAATTACTTTTTGATTTTATTGTAAGTGGGATTTTTTCTTAGTTTCTTTTATATTTCATAGTATGTAGAAATGTAACTAATTGGTAATGTTGATTTGGTATCCTCAAATTTATAAGCTCTATTTATTCATACAAATAGTTCTTTTCATGGAGACCTTACTCCATCTAAAAATAGAGGCAGTTTCTTCCTTTCCAATTTGTAGGTATTTTCTTTGTATTTGTTACCTACTTTCATCTGTACAGAATTTGAACACTGTGAGAGTGGGCATCCTATCCTGCTTCTAAGCTCAGAGCATTGACTATGTTACCCATGATTTTTTCATTGTGACTTTTATTTTGCTGAAGTACATCCCTTTGTGCCTAATCTGTTTAGAAGTTTTATGAAGCATAAACTTTGCAATTGAATGCTTTTTCTGTTTTTATAATTTTCGAGACAGGGTTTCTTTGTGTATCTCTGGCTGTCCTAGACCTCACTCTGTAGGCCAGGCTAGTATTGAACTCAGAGATCTGCCTTTCTAGTGCTGGGTTTTAAAGGCATTTGCCATCACTGCCCCGGAATTTTTTTTCTTACTTTAACTTTGTTGAAACTCTAAGAGGCTAGTGACTTTTCTGTATTATTTCCTACAAGTATTATTTTTCTTATGTAATCCCAGAATAATTTCTTTGTAAGATTTTACAAATATTTTATTATGAACAATATTTACTTGAGTAGAAATGCTAAACTGATGTTCATGTGAAAGTGTGATTATGATTAATATATGCCCTGACTTTTTTCCTCACTTGTTTTAAATATCTTTATAGGTGTGTCAATCACAGTCAGCGGTCTTTAGCATTGGGAGTACAGTTCATGCTACTGCGGTTGATAGGTATGTTATGTAAAAACTTTAGTATATGTTTTGGTTCATTAGTGTTACTGGCCCATTTGGATATGTTACACATCAAGCAAACGACGAAAGATGAAGGAAGCATAGTAGTCATTGATGGAAGCTGTTTTCCAACATTTATGATATAGCACTGCTTACATGACACCAGAATACAGTGGCTTTTCACCTCACCTGTCTGACTTCCTTTCTGTTGTTTCCAATCCCATGGGAATATAGACTCATGGGAATATCCAGTTCATTTGTATTATGAATTTCAGTTGTGGATCTCAGCATATAATTTCTTTTCTCACTACCTTTTATTTAACAACTGAGCACATTCAGTATGGATGATTATATTAGTACTTTTAGTCTCCATTTGGTTGAAACACTAATGTGGAATATACAGACTTCCACGTGGACGTCCATTGCTTCCTGGTATGTGTGAGTGTGCGTGTCAGAAACTCTCCACCATGTGCCTGTATATGGAGATGTTCACTCATGCACACCTTCATGATACATTATACACACATGCCCACATTAGTGTGTGTATGAATAAGCACAAAATGTAAAGACAAGGAGTATAGTAGTTTATCAGCCTTCTATTGCACCAAAAGTTTTATTTTTATTTTCTAAATCTGACATAGCCAATTTCAAAGAGGGATTCATTTGTTACATTATGAAAGGGGTAAACTAAAGTATTCACTAAACTAATATTTTGAAAAGCTAGGGAAATGGGTTTTTGAAAGCTGTTGTTACACATAATGTATTTGTGGATATAACTGTATTTGAGTGAATTTAGTGATTTTGCAGGTTCTCAAACTTTACATGGTACCTTAGTACTATTTATAGTTTTCTATCAGATAAAATCAAAATAAAATATTTTTCTGTGTTAACCCAATTTTAGTGTATGTGTGTGCATGTGTGGGAGACCACAAGCGAACTACATGTGGAGGACAGGGGACAGCTTTCAGGAGTAGGGTCTCTTTCTCTCTACTACATGGGTCTCAGGATCCAAGATTGCAGACCTAGAGTCAAGTGCCCTTACTCACTGAGCCTCTCACTGGCCCTAGTGCTTATGGTTTCTATTAAAGTACTTTTTTTTGTATTGGTTAGAAATATATTATTGCATGTAGTTATTTAAAACATTTGACATTTTTTACATACCTTTGATATATGAATGAATTGGCTAATGTGCATTTGGACAAAGTGAGGACAATTGACATTATATAAATGTATGTTTAGCTATATATATTAAAACCTATGGTTATAAGCTATAATCTTTGCCTGTTTTCATTTTGCCTTTAATTCCTCTAGGTACAATACCTGGGCCAATTATATTTGGTGTCACAATAGACAGCACATGTGTTCTGTGGGATGTCAATGAATGTGGGATAAAAGGAGCTTGCTGGATTTATGATAACATCAGGATGGCCCATATGCTGGTAGCCATAAGTAAGTTGACATCTAGGACTAATGCGAAAAATATGAGCGATCTACAGTCTAGTTTTGCTATTATGCTGTGGACATTCTGTTGGGAAATCTTGCATTTCTGAGGCTGAAAGCAGTTACCAAACCTGATATCAGAAATAAAAGAATAAAATTTTCACTTTCTGTATATTGCACGTTATGTGCTTTTTTAGAACAATTTCTCTTAAAGTTTGGGAAAGTATACACAAAAGATAAAAAGAGAATTTGGAAAAACCCTGAGGAATTATTTTCCTCTAAGTGTTTGGGCTCTGGAAACTGTAGTAGGAGAATTTCCTGCAGCTGCAAGAGGTATTTTGCCATCCATAGCTTTTACCATGATCTTTAATTCATTTGGTTGATGGTCGTCTATACGTTCCAGGTTAAATTATAAATTCAAGGTAAGATTAATAGGTATAGTATATATCCTATATGTAACAATTTGACAGTTAAACATTTATTATTAATGTAAGACACTGCAATATTTTAATATAGAGATCTCTTAGTTGGACATGGTGGCCGCAACTGTGATCCCGGAACATGGGAAGCTCAGTCCAGATGATAGGTGTGAATTTGAGTCTAACCTAGGCTGCATAATGAGTTTCAGGCCAGCTTGCACTGAGAATGAGACACTGTCTCTTACACACACACACACACACACACACACACACAGAGAGAGAGATGTCAAATATACAAGTGTCATTTGGTTTTCATCACTACCATTTTAATGTAAATCAAGATACACTTTTTAGTCTCTATATAGACCAGAGTATACTACCTGAATTCATAATTGCAGAAGCACAATATCTACTGAATAAATAAGTAATAAATATGTAAACTCACAATGAGAGAAAATGCTAACTAATTTGGATAAAATTAATCTCATCAGTTTTACCTACTACTCAAAATTCTTTTTATGCTACTCGTTCTTAACATTTCCTTGATGAGGGGTGAAGACTACACTTAACAGTGGGTATAAGGACAAATGTTTAGCTTCTTGTTAGATTTCTGGCCTACGTGAAGAACTGCAAGCATCTAAGGATGCGAAGAGCCACCAAATGGTTATCAAATACCAAGGCCTCAGCCTTGAAATCATGCATACAGGTAACATTATACAGATCAGGCAGGTTATATTTAGGAATATTTATGTATATGCATATAATAACAATTGATGAAAAAAGCTATTAATTTAAACAAGAACAAGAAGGAGTGTATGGGAGGGTCTAGAGGGGATAAAGAGAAGTATTGTAATTATATGAATTACATTTAAATTTAATTTAAAGTCTCATACACAAATAAACAACCAGGCATTGAGACAATTGACTATGTCAGGGCTTTTGACAAATGATAAGGCTTAGATAGATCAAGGAGAATTCCCAATTTTCAGATGTTTTAGAGTAGATAGACATAATTAACAAATAGGAATTCAACTATTGGAAAAACTACACTGTGAGATCATTTTCAATACTGACACTTGGTAATGCTGAATCTTATGGTGGAAACTAATTGATCTTTTTGTAGCTGGGTCAGATGAAGGAAGTATTTGACATCAAGTCAAAACTTATGTGATATATCTGAATAGATCAGCGTTTTAGCTGATATGGCAGAGCAAATTTTGGTAAGCATTAAATGTGACATGTCCATATCAGATCTTCTCCTAGGAATTCGGCAGCCTTCTTATTTTTAATATTACTTCCCATTTCTGATATGAAATTTCTTTACTTTATTCAAGTCTAAGGATGGTGAGAGATTTCATTTTATTATTAACTATTGATTGCTTTTTTTCCCCTTGAATATGGTGTGTGTTCACAAAGTCAGAAAGAGAGCACAGAGCCTGGGTGTGGTGGTGGTACACGTGTATAATTCCAGTTCGCGTCATCACATGATCATGAGTTTGATGTTATTCTGGGCCACATAGCAAAATAGCTTCTCAAAAACAAAAACAAAGTTGGGTAAAGAATTTACTGACGCCTACATAACACACAGCATTAATTTTGTAATTTGTGTCTTTACTTATTTATAGTAAAAATACTAAATTATTAGTATTGTTGATTTGAGAGGCGTCTTGCTCTGTTTTAAGCTGCCCAGAAATTCCTTGTGAAGCCCTGGCTGGCCTCAGATGTGAAACACTTGCTTCTGCTTCCTAAGTGTCGTGATTACAGCTGTGTGCTGCCACACTTAGCCCCTCTTGTGGCCTAAAATTTGAAAATATAGAATTTTTATTCCTTATAATTATTCACTTTAAAGTAGGAAGTGTGAAGAATCACTCAGTGGAAACTGTTTTTCATTCATCGGTCATGGTCCAAAGGCTTGTCTGTCTGCTTGTCTTCTATGTAGGTGTTACTTGTAAAGTCATCACCATGTTCTTCAATGGACTTGCGATTGTCCTCTATAAACCACCACCGCCAGGCACAGAGGTATCGTTTCAAAGTCAGAATGTCGTTGTGTCTACTATTTCGATAGAAGAGGATCTCAACAAAGTAGAAAATGAAGGATGAAAAAGGAAAAGAGATTGCTTTGGAAAACTGGCTCCTGTCTGTAAGAACAAACCGTGCCAAGTCACCATTGTTTAGTCCATGTAGACCATAGCTTACAAATCCATGTTCTACGATTGAGGGTGTGTGTTGTCTATGTACAAGTGCCTTTTTTTTTACAATGCAAACAAACAAGCAAAGCAAAGCAAAACAAACAAACAAAAATTCGAGGCCTATATCTTTAAAGTTCACCAAAAGTCGCAAACCACACAGATTCTTATTGACTTCCATTGTCTAGCTATGAAATCACCAATGCATGACAACAACAGTGGCCAACAACAAGTAACTAAAAAATGACAGTGAAAACACAAAGGTGCACAAACACAAATTAGAACATCAGTTTTTGTTTTGCTTTTTGTAAGACCTCACATACCCCCAGCTGCCCAGGAACTCAGGTAGCCAAGGATGACATTTGATCCCTGATCCAACTGGCACTACATTTCAAGTATTGGGGTTACAAGGGTATGTCACCACCACTGGCTCACATTGACATTTTCAAATTCTTTCTATAACTAGTTACACTTCAATTTTCATTGCCGATAATTTCAATTTATTTGAGACGTTTACAGCATAAAAATTTAAGCTAATCAGGTTTATGTGATGGATTTGGGGATCAGTTATTTAAAACACATGAAATTCAAGGCAGCTTTACATTGTAATCTGTTTTTATATTCTATCTCCCTTTCTGCCATTTTTTTCATAGTAAATAACTGAACTGATAGAATGTAGGATAGTTATCTTCTTTGTGTGTCAGTACCCTTATGGCCTTAGAAATATTAGCATTGACTATACATATTTTCAACTTAAAATAAAACTTCTAGGAGGTTATTTGTTAATATTGACTTTTAACACTAAAACGTATGATTCTGTCATAGTATTATTTAATTACATATTCAGAGGAAAGAACCAGTTCCAGTAATGAAAAGTGCCATGTAGACCTGAAAAGCTGTCACAATGCATTGTTGACAAATGCTTATGTATTGAATACTTCAAATTTTATTTTCCAGACTAATCACTTAGCACATTACTTAGAGTAACCTAAGCAGAGTTTCATTTAACAAGCATCGGATATTTATTTAGTTAAAGTTTTAAATTTTATAAGGCATCTACTGGAAGCATAAGTAGTTCATATGCCTGACATCGGAGGAACTAAAGTCCATTGGTGTGGGTTCCTTACAAATTTACTTAAAATAGTGAAGAGATTATTTAGTGTCAGCAAAACTAACTCACTATTGTGGATACTATTTCTAAATAAGAAAAGCACCGGAAGGCTAAGGATTCTGTGGAATGCAAAGTCTAAATCTGATACTTGGTACTGAAAACTAAGAACTAAGGCTCGTTATATTTGAGTTGTTTTTGCAAATCAAAGCTTCTGCTTAGTAAGCTTTGGTATCAGGTTCCCCTGCCAGCCAGCACCCTTCACTCCCCTTTGTTCTTTATAAACGTCATATATCAGATTCCCCATCAGGACAACATGAGCCCAGAGAAAAGACCTGGAAGAAAGTAGGAGCCAGGGCCATTAGAATTCACAGAATTTATGATGCTAAGTCTGGTGGTAATCTGGGTAGGGTCAAGGACCTCAGAACCTGATAGCACTTAGAGGTTTAAATTCAAGAAGCAGTGATGAGCTAGGAGTTAGACTCGCAAGCGCCTTGACTAGTAAATGCAATCTCAGGAAACAGAGGGCTAGACCTGCTTAACTCAGGAACATTCATGTACCAAAAAATTAAATTAAACAGTACAACCAAAACCCAGATATTTGGGGAGAAGACACTTCTGTCAACTAAAGGGACAATACAAGAAAGATGGGAAATGCACATGATACCTCAGGAGAGAATATTCATCCCCATCACCCAGGCATGTTATAAATACTGCCTCCATTATGGCCAAGGGTATTAGACGTTAGACTTTGTACATCCTGTGTGTGGAAGCATGGAATCCAGTGGGAAAACTGTAATATAATGGCATTCTTGAGAAGTTTCAGTGATGGAAATATGAAATGAGGACAAGAAAGAAAACAGACGATTCATACAAACAGGTGAGTATATGGCCTTAACTTAGGGAGAAGAAAATAATGTCCTAAATGTCTAGCAAACAGGTAAATAAACAGTTGGCATCCATAATGATTAGTGTTCATCAAACTGACATTGTCTTCAGTGAACTCGGTTTTGAAGTATTTCTTTTATATTTTTTAAACAAACTTCAAATGGAAATGGCTAAAGGGAACCAATAATTTTGGTAAATACACTACTGTAATCTTCATTGTTTTCTACTGTAAATTCATGCAGATTGTATGTCAGTATGCTGCTTTTAGAGTACATGTTCATAATATGTGTTGGTCACAGCTTATAATTATTTTAAAATAAATTGCAGGTGGACCTGCTGTAATTTTGTACTATATCTTACAATTTGTCATATTTTAATTTTCTTAACTGCAGAAAACAGAAATATAATTCATACACATGAGAAAATTGTATACCTTTGACGTTGATATGTACATTGGAAGAAGATATACATAAAATATAGACCTATTTTCTTTGTTGAAAGCAGCTCTGTAAATAATTCCTACATGTAATTTTCATTAAACACAATATTTGTGTTACAGTGTTGTAAGTATTTGATTATGTCGGCTTTTGCATTGCTGTGGCAAAACACCTGACTAAACCTGACTAGAGTGACTTTGGGAAGAAATGATGCACCTTGTCTCATAGCGTGAGACTATAGGCTATCATGTCAGGGACATGAAGCTGCTGGTCACATGACATCGTGTCAGGACACAGAGAGAAGTGGAGGCTTGTGCTCAACATGTTTTCTTTTTCTTCAGTCTAAGACCGTAGCCCCTGAAGTGGTACCACCCACATTTAAGGCAGAGCCTCCCACCTCCGTTAACGACCAGATATTTGTCCCCACAGTGATTCTAAATCCCATGTGTGTTGAGTGAAGCCTTTTCCTTGCCAGCTGCTTTGGTTTTTCCCCACCAGCTGCCTGGGCTCTGCTGCGTTGTAGTCTCCAAATAATACACAAGACGCTGTATTAATTATGAAGCTGTTGGCCTTGCTTGATTTATACTGGCTAGTTCTAACTTAAGTATTTACCCCATAATTGTTAATCTGAGTATTTCTCTTACCAGAGAATAGTTCCGGACTTCTTATCCCTATCGCAGCTGCATCTTGACTCCCGGTGTTTCTCCTACCCAGAGTCTTCTTGGACTCATAGTCCCACCTATCTTACTTCCCTATTGGCCAACAGTGCTTTATTGACATATACACTGGACTTCCCCATCACATGTGAGTGACGATCGAGGATGATAATCATGCACAATCTTATTAAAAAAATTGGATATTTGGTTTTCTGATTATTTGTGGTCCTGTTTCTTTTTTAGTTACTTGGATTTTTTTTTTCTGAGAGAAAGACAGAGTGTGAATTTGGGTGGGTAGGGATGTGTAGAGACTCTGGGGAGAAGTTGAAGGAGGGGGAAAAGCATGATCAGAACATATTATATGAAAAAAATCAATTAAGGTAAAAGGCAGGTATAGCAAAGCAATTCAGTCCAAAGCATGCAAAAAAGAAAAAAAGAACAGGAAAAGGGAAAAGAAATATAAGACCAATTCCCTTCAGAATGATCTTTACTTATTTATTTATCTATTTTTATTTTTAAATTTAAATTAGAATCAAGGTTGCTTCACATGTCAATCCCAGGTCCCTCTCCCTCTCACGCCCTCCCACCAACCCCTCCCCCCAATATCCCCTCATTTCCCCAGGGAGGGTGAGGCCCTCCATGGGAGGTCCATAGTCTGTCATTTCATCCAGGGCAGGGCCTAGACCCTCCCCCAAGAGTCCAGGTTGAGAGTTCATCTCTCACTGTGGTATGGGCACCTAAAGTCCATTTGTATGCCACAGATAAATACTAATCTACTACCTGAGGCCCCATAGATTGCCTAGGCCTCCTCACTGGCACCCGCATTCAGGGGGTCTTGATAAGCCCCATGCTGGATTCCCAGCCATCAGTCTGGGGTTCAAGAGCTAACCCTTGTCAGGTCAGCTGTTTTTGGAGGTTAACCCAACCCAGTCTTGACCCCTATGCTCATCACTCCTCTCTCTCTGTCACTGGGTTCCTTGAGTGTTTAGCTGTGGGAGTCTTCCTCTGCTTCCATTATCCATTAGAAGAAGGTTCTGTTCCCCAGCCTATAATCCCAGAATGATCTTTATTGTAAAAGATAAAATCTTGACCATAGGTGGTTGTGTGGTTGAGCTTTGAGATGGAAGAACATTAGAAGGGACCCATCATGCCAGTGGCAGCATAGTGGAGCCCCAAAGGGAGAGAAGCCTCATTACGAGAAACGATTAAAGTAAAGAAGGCAGAAAGATAGCCAGAGGAACAGCCTTGGGAGAACTAAAAGGAGAGAAGGAAACAGAGAGCCTCAAGCAAAGTCACCTGATCAAAGATGATGTCTGACTTTACTATGCTTGGGGGACTTGTGCAAAACTCCTTACCATGACGTGGTTTGATATAGTCTGTCTTAGCTAGGGTTACTATTTCTGTGATGAAATGCTATGGCCAGACCGAAGCAATGTGGAGAGTATGGTAGTTTGAAAAGAAATGGTCCCCATAGAGAGAGGAGGTGTGCTCTTGTTAGAGTAGGTATGGTCTTGTGGAAGGAAGTGTGTCACTGAGGAGCCAGTCTTGGAGGTCTTGTATATATTCAAGCCATGCCCAGTGAGACAGACCACTTCCTGTTGCATGAAAGTCAAGATGTAGGGCCCTCAGCTGTCCCCAGCATCATGCCTGCCTGCATGCCACCACAGTTTCCACCATGAAAATAATGGACTAAACCTCTGAAACTGTAAGCCTCCCAATTAAATGCTTTCCTTCATAGGAGTTCCGGAGGTCATGGGATCTTTTCATGCCAATAGAAGCACTTAAGACAGGAAGAAAAGATTTATTCAGTGTATGCTTCTCCAACGTAGTTCATCATTGAAGAGAGTTGGGAGAAGAAGTCAGACAGAGCAGGAACGTGGAGTCAGGAGCTGATGCAGAAGCCATGGCCAAATGCTGCTTAAATGCTTGCTACCCCTGGCTTGCTCAGCTTCCTTTCCTATAAAAGCCAGTATGATCAGCCCAGGGATAGAAACACCCATAATGAGCTAGGCCCTCTCCCAAAATGCCCTTCACCCAGATTCATGGAGAGGAACTGGTAGGGGGAGTCTAGGCGTGCTCCCTTCCCACTACCATAGATATGCAAGTGTTCTCACTGTCATAGCAAGGGTAGTTGCTATGGACTACAAGTGTCAAGGACTGATTTCTAAGAGGAAAATGGCTCTTTAAGGGTTTGCTGTCTACAGGCTATTTTTGGAAGCCAATATTCTTGTTCCCTAGAGACTATGCACATTTCTTGATCCATGCACCCCCCCTTGTTCATTTTCACAACCCAAACCAGAAAGATTGCTCTTAGTCCTACCTCAGCTCTAGAGAGCTAAGATGACAGGTCTAGGCATCCATACCCAACGATCCTTGCCAGTGCTTAAGATTTGATTATGTCCTTGTAACTGTTCTGGAAGTAATGGAAATATTCCAAAGAAACACCAACAGTCCTCTCATTGCTAATTAGACTAATTAAAAAATCGACTCCAAGAAATTGTTAATTCCCTAGGTATCTCCTGGGAAAGGGAAAAGGCTGAGGTCTCTGGGGCAGCCCTATACCTGCTTATCCTGGGGAAAGATTTAGAACACAGACCTTGCTTACTGGAGCTCAGGCAATGGTGACAGGCTGGGCAGTAGCATACCTTCATTGGGACAGTTCCGCTATTCACAACTCTTAAGTTCGCTATTTAAAGATAGTCACATGGAAGCCATCAAGCCTTTTTGCCCTTCTATTCAGTACAACCACACAGAATAAATCTCCTTTTTCTTCTTTCAGCAATTTCCCATTTATTTAATTGACTTACTGACAGAATTTTGGTTGTACCACAAAGCTGGGCAAAGTGATAAGAGCAAATATATCAGCATCCTGTGTTTTAATTTAAAATAAGTGACTCAAGAGAGAAACACCATGCAACAGAGTTCAAGTGAAAGGGTTTTATTTTTTTAATTAAGGGAAAAGGATTGTAAGAAGGGAAAGGGGACGGGGGGAGACTGACCTCTGGGAACAGGAGCAACAGAAGAGAGGGAGACATAAAGAGAGGAGAGAGAGGGTGAGAGGAACAGACAGAGAGACAGAGAAAAAGAAAGGGATGGGAGGTCGTCAGGGACCTTTTAAAAAGGAACATAGTGATTGTGCACAGGTGGTGCTCTTAGTGGCTGCAGATGAGGGCGTCTCCTGTCAGAACCCCAAGGGCAGGACAGTACAAATGCCTAAACACTAACATGCTGGAAACCAAACAAGGCCATATAATAAGGTTAGAAATATATTCACCGTCTCCGTATCTCTCCTCCCTTCCTCTCCCCCCCCTCAAGTTTGAATAAGAAAAATGTGAATCTCTGTGTGTTTAGACTTTGTAAGCTCCACTTCTTTTACCATCAAAGTAAAATGTGTGTGGATGGAGAGTGAATATAAGCAGTTTTTGTGGGGGGGAGAGGGGATCTGACTTGATTTGGAGTAGATGAGATAGAGCCCTAGGTATTCCAGTTATCAGGAATCTCAATGACCAATCTTGCAGCTAGCCTGAGGTTGCAGCAGTGGTAGAAACATAATACTAACAGCCTAGCAAAAAACTTAACAGGGAAATCTGGACTCCATCAGGGGGAAAAATCAATTCAAGCTCCTCTACAATATATTTATGTTAACAAAATGTCTACATCAACAAGAACTGTACAAAATCATTACCCACTTACACTTGGGAAAGGAATCAATAGAAACTGTGGTAGAGGAGGCTTAGTATTCAACATAGCTCACATAAATGTGCTCCAGTAACTGGAAAATACCATTTTTTAAAGAATTGGATGAAGGGATATGTGCAAAATGTTTTATGAAAATCCACTACTGAGGCACCATTGAATTACAAAATTTTTAAGTGAACAAAAGGAAATTTTGGTATTGAAGTGTGTACTGTGAGTGGGAAGGAAAGTTATACAAAGAAACAAGCCCTGTCTGACTCAAGGGCTACAGTCTGGGAGAACCTATAGAGGGGAAGTGTCTAGAGGAAAAAAACCCACAGTCTGCAGCCTGAGTTTAAGCCGTGGCAGTTATAGGACAGAAAGAGGGAAGGGACTAATTTTTTTCCATTTTGCTTCCTGTTTGATTGTTGCTAGCAATAACTAAGGAAATTAAGTGACCGGTAGATCAATGGGAGAATATCAGTGACTGATAAGTCCCACTCACTCATGATTATCCATCATAGGATGGATGATGGCAAGAATCTAGACCACAAGTTAGATTCTGGGATTTTCATTGTTTAACCAAAATGAATGGGCATTAAATAAAATGGCATGGCCATGGATAACAAAAAGAAAAACATTATTATAGCTTAAATGAGGCATTCTCTTGGGAGTGTCAGTATCAGATTAAAAGCAGTAGAAGATGTAAGTCATCAAGGAGGTTGAAGCATTATGAATGAAAACATCCAGTACGGAAGTTACAAAATGAAAAGTGTAATAAAAGTAAA